AGAGTAAAAAAATGACAAAATACTATTGTTAGGTCATTGACTTCCTGGCAAGATAATGAGGCATTTAATTATATTCTAATGACAATAAATTCTGTATCATTCATTGTTGCTTACAGAGCTGTATTGTATTGTTTTTTATTTAGGATTAAATGTTATTTGTGTTCGCAAGTACAGAAAGGATCCACAGACAAAACAAACTGAAGTGAGGGCAAAGTAAAGATCAAAATTTAGCATGATGCATAATTTCATCTGTGCAAGTGAGTTGGAACTAAAACATCTCTTCTGCCCCCTTTACTGGGGTTGTCCTTATACCTTTGTAGAAAAAATTCTTGGTAGGAAGATGGGAATAAATGAAGGTGAAGTGGTGAACAAACACATAGCCCAGCTACTTAATAACGCTGCAGTGTTGATTTATTATACGTAAAAAAGAAACTTCGTAAGCTGTGGAGGCTGAATAGTTATGGCATTAGACTTGAAGTGTAGTGGTACTTTTTTGTGCAGGTTCAAGTCCATCTCACAGCAACATGGCATCTGCTCAGTGGGATGGCCTGTGATCAGTAGGTCAGTGCTTTCACTGTAAGTCACTTAGAAACTGGGGCTACTCCTGCTTTCTCAACTGTATTTCACTTGTATTTCCTTATATATGAAGGTGGCTCTATTATTTGTACTATGATAAAGATTAATTGAAGTTGTGTTTAATGAAGCAGTCTGCAGCAGTTTAACGAGTCACCTCTGCCTTTTTTCTGCATTTACAATGAAAACAAGCTGTAAAAATCACTGTTTTGTTGTTACAGAACTACAGAGTCATTGCTTTAGGCATTCAGTGTTTTAATGCTGTTATATTCATGCTTAAACTTCAGAGTCAAGAGACATTCTTTCATACCTAATTGTAGTCATTTGTTATTAAAATTCAGATCTCTGAAAAATATATGTGTGCATACGGATAATATGACATCACGTGACTTACATGATGATTTAAAAGGCATAAAAGAACTGATTTTGAGTTTAATTTAATGTGTCTATGTACTCTGTCCAGATAGTGATCATGAAATCCTGCCACTTAGATGATGCAATAGAATGTTTATGTTTGGGGTTTTCTTTTGTCTAAAGGAGATTCAAATGCTGTAACCAAGTAAAGGGTGGACTGAACCATTGTCACCCTCCAAATCCCCCTCCAGTTCATCAGCAATGTAGAATTCTGCTAAGCATGGTAATAGGAGCCATAATATCGACTGTAGGACTGAACAAACAGCACAGCTCACGGCTAGATGTCCTTCCCCCCCATGAAAAAGAAGCTAAAACTGTGGTCAATAGCACATCATTCCTCTGCCCCACAGCACTACGCTGTGTCTCTTTTGCGCTCGTCTTGCCAGCTGTTTCTCCGCGCGTTATGCAGACCAAACTGAGTATGATCTTCTCCAACATCCTCCGAAGGCCGTTGCACTATGAGGCCTACTCTGAGCAGCCAGTAGTGGTGTCCCATGCACTTTTCTTATCACCGCATATACATGTGCCTATTGACGTCACCAAGCTCGCATCTAACAGGCTCAAGGTACAATCCACTCAATAACAAGATGATTTGCATGTATCATGTCCATTTAATGAAGGGCACTAATATCTTATGTCCCAATGCTTGCCATGACTGTGCTTGTGCTTTTGCTGTGTGCACCTTCGGTAATTCATCAGGTACAACGAATGCTGTGCCTAATATTGTCAGTGTAACTGTTCGTTTGACTTTTATTTGAGGATAATGAAAGTACGTGCTCTTCAATATATCTAACGGCAGGCAGGCAGACAATCACAGTCAGCTTGGGTCTCCAGCAGCACGCAGACTACAGTATGTAAATCAGACAGAAACAAATCTTCTGTCCCAGCTGGGAAACTCATCCCAAAGTACTTAACATTCTTTTCCCCTCCCTTTTCATTCTTTGATGTTCTTTAAATGAGCCTTCAAACTCCACTGTTCTCACAATTCAATTTTACCAGCCCATTATCTAAGATATAATGTGGAGGTTAAATATATCAGGGCAGCCATTATGTGAAAATAATTAGCAGTAATGAATAATGCACTAATTCCACTGATGAGATATGGTTATCCAAGTAATGAAGTGTTAGGGCTGCCCTGACAAATGAAATTAAAATATTTAAACACTGTTTTATGGTATTACCATGCTCATATAATTTCCTTTACCTACAATGAGCTTCTGTGGTTATCACCATTATTCTGACACTTCCAGTGTGTTAAATAATGCAGGTTAATGTTACAGCAATTAGTCATCACAGCAA